GCTCATGATGATGATTGTGACGACGACGATGTTGCAGATGATGATGCTGCTTCGTCACCATGGCCATTCTGCTGGTATGCTGCTGATGATGGTGCTCATGATGATGATTCTGACGACGATGATGTTGCTGCCCTGCAAGTCCTAAATAGCCCTAAATTGTAAAGTCATAGCATTCCTTGCCCCCGATATTCCCGTCCACCCCGAGGGTCCTTCCTTTGCTATCGAAGCCGTACCGACGCTCCTTGACGTGGAGCGCCACGTTCTGTCTTTGAAGATGCGTAAAGCGGCAGGACCAGACGGTGTGGCAGCGGAAATCCTGCGGTTATCACCAGCATGGCGCGCTTCCTCTTTCCGGTCTCGCTGAAAACCAGCCTTGGAACGCGTGAGCCGTGTGAATGGCGCGGCGGCGCCCTCATCAGCCTTGCTAAACGCGTCGCCTCCGCTACCGCGTGCGGGGCTTACAGGTCTATCATGCTCGAGAACATACCTGCCAAACTGCAGCACCGCATGATCCGAGAGCGTTTGGTCCCGCACTTCCGAAGCTACAAGCATCATACCCTCGCCGCTTAACTCCCCCTGGTTGGGGTTGACAACATAGGCCTCCTGGTCAGGACGTACCAACTTTGGGCGACCGCTGGCAAAGGCCACTGTGCGGAGCTCCAGGTGGAGCTAACCCTAAACCCCTAAGCTTTTACGCTCTAAGCCTTAAACCCTACACCCTAAACACCCTAAACCCTTAAACCTATACACCCTAAACCCCTGAACTTAAAACGCTAAACCTAAACCGCCCGGAATGCCTTTGAGTCACAGGCTCGAGGTGCAAGGCTTCAGGAGCTTCAGGGCTGTTCTTTCGGTTTCAGGGTTTGGGGGTTTTGTTAGGGTTTAGGGTTTAGGGTTTGGGGTTTAGGGTTTAGGGTCTGGGTGTAGGGATTGGGTTTAGGCTTTTTTTGCCTCTAAGACTCTAAGGGCTCCTTTAAGGGTCCCAGAAGACCAAGCAACCTAGGATCACGAGGTCTTTTAACGGGGTAAGGGGGAGGGGGGTAGGGGACTATACTTCCTTAAATTAAATAGGCCTTGTTAGGTCCTTATTGCCGGTTTTAAGGCCCCCTACCCCTCTGCCCCCCGCCCCGCAAGGGCCTATGATAGTGCTGAAGATGTCGTGATATGTTGTAGCAACTCACCAGCAAAAAGGTCGCAAACCTGGATTATCAAATTACGCAATGCACGATGTTATGCCTCAAGAGATCAGGCAAGTCCTGCCCCAAACTCCAAACCAAGCCCTCAAACCCCTATTCCCCTATTCTTGAAACCTTATAAACCCTAAACCCCGAGCCAGGCGCGAAAACCCCTATTCCCCTATTCTTGAACCCCCAAAATCCGACGAATGCCGACCAGTAAAAAATCAGTTCAAGGAAACTACAGGTGGGGAGTTTAGGGTACATAGGGCTTCCATAAGGCTTCCATAAGGTATATAGACCTTCTATAAGGTTAGCGCGCTTTTTTTGCCTGGTAGGTTTGGCTGCTTCAATCTGTGTCTTTACTGGCGGGCGTGGGACTTTTGAGTATAAGGTAGTTTTGAGGCCTCAAAAAACTATTCCTTACGGAGGTCCACGATTGCTAAGTCTTGATAGTGCTTTGACCTTTCGAGCTGAAGAAGCATTACGAGCATCCTGTTTTGGTCGGCGAAATGGGGCTTCCAGCCACCGACTGCGGGTTTAGGGCCGTTTCAACGCACATTGGAGGGTCACGGTTTTCGGGCTTAGGGTTTAGGGTTTCTGGGTTTAGGGTTTGGGGTTGATGGGTTCTGAATTTGGATGGTAATGTCCGGTCCTGATTAGTGGTGGGGGGACCCCCCCTCTAACAAATCGAAACGGCCACACTCATATTTGACTGGAATTTGTTTGTTACCCTGGCCTTAAGGTTTACACCCGAGACCCTTAAGGCCCTAGGGCTACCCCAAACCCCTATAAAGCCTAGGCCGCTAAACCCTAAACCCTTGATAGACCCCTTGTGGGATCCACGCATCCTGCAATGATGTTAGCATCAGGAAGCAGTCTGTTCTGGACGTGCGCCTCAGTTGGAATCTGGTGTCTTTTTAAGTTAGCTGGGGTTTTAAAGGTGTCATGCTGTCAAACAAGGAAATAAAGATGCATTTCCTATCATCGTCTGTTATGATGACTTTATTTACTAAGTTCCGTACCAAAGTCCTGTGTGTCAGCACATTGGAGCTGGTCGGTAAGCATGTTTCACTGCTCTGAACCCGTTCGAGGTTTAGTTTACACAGGATTGCTGTTCGTGTTGTTTCTTATCGCGAGCAGTCCTTTTGCTTTTCCTTGTCCTGGCAGTACTGCGATGACTTGTGACTTGCGTACTTGTTCCGTCTGTTGCCGCCGTTTTGAACGGAAGCTTCCATTATAGTTGCTTTTTACTACGTCAATCTTTGTCGTCCCTACTGCTACTGCGGCTTCTCTCACATAATGTGTTTGTCTATTACCGGTTTGCACGGTTTTCTTGTAGTACCACTGCGACGGCTCTTACTGATCATGTCAGCTATACTACATAATGGTGTAATTCCCTGAACGAGTGGTGTTACAAGGGATTCAGGATTCAATTCTACCGAAGACTTGGCCCCCTGCTACTGCCACAAGCTTCCGAGGTTCCGAGATGACGACTACATTATCAGCAACCTGGACGACCGAGCCGTCAAGCAAGCCCTCAACAACTGGGAGGAGCGGAGTCCTAGAAAACATGGGAAAGCGGGAAGCTGCAGGCACCTAAGTTCCATGTTAGAGGAGTATTTTCATTTTCCCTGCAGAATCACCAAATAGGTCAGGACAGCATAGGCATCAAACACAAATTGCTAAGCATCAACGAAAAATGATAAGCATCAAAGACATGATAAGCATCACCAAAATTTGATGACCGCATGGCCAAAGTTTTTGGATGTCTTTCACATATTTTTGATGTTTCACCCCCCAAGGAAAATGCATCTTCACCCCAAGCCTTTAATAATTGTTTTCGGTGCTTGGCACATTTTTTTTGATGGCCGCATGGCCAAATTTTGTTTGATGTCTATCACTTTTACTTTTGATGTTTCACCCGGTCAGGACGGTATACCACTCTAACCCTAAACCCTAAACCCTAAACCCTTTACCCTAAACCCCTAAACCCTAAACCCTGAAGCCCTTTACCCAAAACCCCTAAACCCCAAACCCCTAAACCCTAAACTCCTAAACCCTTAACCCCTAAACCCAAGCCTTATCTGACTGCGAAGGCCCCTGAATCACCCACAGAAGGAGCAGGAGAAGAGGCCTTCAGCGG